CTCGATGGCTACCCGGATCTTGTGGCAACTTTGGTTGAAAAACAGAGCCTTGGTCAGATCAAGGCAAGTATTTTAGTGTACTTTGATTTCGCTTTGCCAAATACTGGCACATTTTTCATCCTCTTTCACGGTGTCATTCCAGGTCATTGATAATATTTTGTGCACAAATTGCGACCGTAATGGAACGAGGTACGCAAACAAAATCAATAGCGCGGAGTTAGAGTGAGACAATTGAGAGTTTTCAGGAGGTTCGAGATAAACAAGAGTATCTTCATCCAACCGAAGGAAGTAGCTTTGGGAGAAATCAAGATGGCATCATTCTTCGATCTGAAGGTAAGTTGCAGTTTTGGTGTTTGCGAAAAAGCTATTTGATCAGAAAATAAGAGCCACCTGCAGAAAAAGATAGGAAACAATAAATAATTATAATAAAATAATAATAAAATAGGAAATAAAAAAATTATTCAAAAGTGCAGCGGTAAGAATTGTTTCTATTTTAGAATTTTCCTTCTCCCACTATGCCAGAATTTTAGGTCTATTTCAAATGACTTTAGGGAGAAAAGTCTGTCAAGAGTTTTTTTTTAAATTAATCATGGGTAGAGGTGGGAGTGAGTCAATTTTATGTTTGTAAGCAAACTTATCGAATGAAGGCTTTGCCCATTTCATTCGATCTCTCAGTAAAGCCTTCAAATCGAGCTGAGTTTGCAGATCTCTTTTCGTCTATTTGTATTCAGGGGAATAGGACGTTAGAGACTTTATTTCTTTTCACACGCTGTAACGCGTTTCAATCCAAAACATCCAACTCCGAAATTGGGCTATTTCTGACGTCACTGCGTAATGTCATGCGTAAAACTAGCTTTACAGCTTAGCAATGCATGCATATTTTTATATCCTCACATTTAAAACTTTAAAAGTCAAACTTATTGGAATCCTTATATCGTCTTTCTTTCACTTTATGGCATAAATACCTTTCTTTTGCTTTAGGAGGATGGAAACTTGGATATCCTAATTGAATACAAGCCATTTGAAGGAGATACGAAGTTCAGGTTAGTTTTAGTGGGCGAAGTATGCTTCGATAATCCGTTTGTCACATAAGCATTAGTTCTCTTTGGTTCCTACATATTACCTTTCCTTTCAGCTTCATCCCTTGTGACGACAAGGGCGATGTCACGTTTCTCAAGGTCACGGTGTTCACAAACGTTTGCGGTAAGCACTGCAAACCGTCACCAAAAGAACTGGGTTTGTTCCTACTGCTGCTTTCAGATTCTCTTTGCATTCTTGTCACAATTTTTTGTGTGCCTATTCATGCTGAAAAGTTTTCATTCATGTTAGTAATTAGAGAGTTGCAGGCTCTGGTGTCAGCTGGGGCGGGGCTTGTGCAAGCTTCAGCATGTCTGATGGATGGGGTGGATCATTGAAAAGTTCGGCATGTCAAATTCCTGCTGGAACGCATCGTGCGCTGGCGCCGCCTTATGTTCTATTCGGTCTTGGCAGAAGTCCCTAAACTTCGTTAGATAGGTTTCGTTCGTTCTTTCTTTCCAGTATTGATTGTAAACAGCCTTCTTTGTCAGCTTACTATTGGTGCGCCGCTCTACAATGAGGCCTTGAACGCTCGGCAGCACACGCTGAAGCAGATAGTACCGAACTCGAGGATTGTTGTTATACCTCCGGCCGAAGGCGGCTCACAGTGGCTCACGCGACTGTATGTCACCCCATCACAGCTCATTCTTCAGGTTTGTTCAACTTTTTACTGCATTATTCAAGGAGGTGACTAGGATAAAGCGTGTGCGCTTCTCGAATAGAAGCAAGACTATTAAAGGAAGCGAGTTGTAGCGCTGCCTGTCCGCGGGCGGCTGTTTCTCGCTCTGCTCCTGTCTGCCATATGTTTATGTGGAGCTGCTATAACTTAACCTATCACTTATATTGACTGTGAACTACTGCGTACACCCTTGTGGCTGGGGTCAAGAACGAAATGTCTTCCCTAACCAGGTCAACAGGTCATTTCTTTCGCTTTGTTGAAATTTTGTGAACAATAGATGGTTTGAGGTCGCCTTCACTTGATTGCCTTGCATTGTAATCTGCTTCACTGCAGTTGTCTTGGTTGCAAGGAAAAATTATTGGAGTCATTTTGCGACAATTCTAGGTTTTTTACTGATGATGCGTTCAATGGCTCTTTTACATATCTTTTTCTTCGTTCCTATTCAGGACTGGTCCTACAAAGCAGCCATGTGGCTCTCCTCCTGATTCATGTGGATCGCTTGCTAATGCGGTCGATAGTCTGTCGTCCGACGATACCCTTCCAGCCCATGTTAAAGTCGTAGCTGTTTACCTACTGCGAAGAGTGCTCACACTGAAGAGTTACTACAACGTAATTGTGAACTCGAAGAGGATCTGCTCTTGCAAAAAATGGAGATGAACGTCTCAAAGAAGAGATAGAATCTCTGAGAAAGTCATAACGGGTCTGTCCCTCTTGTGTCGCGATAGTACTCAGTCTGACACCCAATTCAATTGTTGTTGAGTACATAAATGGGTAAGATATGTCGTAATTTCTGGGGTTACTGAATGTGTTGCTTCTAGCCATGTTGCACGATTCTCGTCAGGCAGCTGGTTTCATTAAGAAAATTTGACTATTTTTATCAATCAAACGCTTTGCTCTCACCTTCTTTCGCATGGGTAGACCTAAACCTAATCACCCAAGGTTGATTAAGCTTGTTGAGCTTACAGCAACTTTTTAATTCATCATTGTTCTCACTTAATCATTGCTTCTGTTGAGCAACCAATCAATCACTGTACAACCGTCGTATACCAGGCTGTTCAGAAATTTTGCATAGCTAGGTCATTTTGTGAAACTCTTCCCGTTTATCAAAAAATATATCAGTGGTAATTATAACAGCAAACGGCCAATCAAATTAGTCTTCGATGAAAGAGCCCGCAATATACCAATGACGAACTGTTGACTTTAGG